CCCATAGTGAACACACTGGTTTTGGTATGGGATATGTCCTTTGAGAAATTTACTTTTTAGGCACTGCAAATACAGTTTCAGGGGCAAAAGGAAAATAGTAACCTGTTTAAAATGATTAATCATACATTTTTCTGGAAAAGTAGTCCATATATTTTGATGGCTTGGGATTGACTCGTGCTTCAGGTATTATTTTAATAATGAGTGAACAATGATGGGAAGCGAGTAGGAGGACTATGCTATTTCAATGGAAATATTTTAAACAAGTTCAGACACTATTCAGTAAAAACTAGTGGAGTAAAATAATGGTACAACACAGGATCCTGGATAATCTGTTTTCCTACACCAGGACCAACTTCTGAAGAATTACTGGTAGAAAATGGGAATTCTACACTTTCCCACATGCCTTAGGGAAGCAACTTGAGCTCAGTTGCCTGTACTGGAAAGGTTTTCCTTCTTTCCATCCCAGATGTCTGTCTTGTCCTTCTTGTAATGGGCAGTGGAAATAATTTGCTTCCACTTTTTGTGACATTTTTTTGCACATGAAATCTGTTCTTCTGCCTGTCTTCGATCATGATGCACCAGGAAATGTGCATTTAAATATGAATGTTAAAGAAAAGTTTCAAAAGCAAAACTTGCCTATTTAACAAGGTAAAACTCTTGTTAATGAAGATAAGCCTGGAAATCTGAAAATACTTCTGGGAAGAGAAACAGTGGATTTGAGAAAAGGATGGAACAAAAGATCATGCTGAGTTTTGTTACTTTGCTTTGGTTTTGTATCTGGTTTGTTTGTTTGGGTTTTTTATTTTTTCCCTAAAAACCAAAACTGGATAAGGAAAGGAATCTGATAAAACTTAGTGATTGCTTTATTTTCCTGTAGTGATTGTGGTTTTTCTGGAGCTAGGGTGAATGTGAAGGCAGTGGTGGGCAGTGCTAGGTTCCTAGGGGATGGCTAGGTGAAGATGGAAAGTCCTCTGTGGGTAGAACTGACAAGCATGTTTCTTACATCTATTTTGTTTTGTGTTGTTATTGGTTTGGTTTTTTTTGTTGTTGTTGTTATTGTTTGTTTGTGTTTTTTTTGTGGTTTTTTTTTTTTCAGGAGATTGATATCTTTGATGCTAGGAGAGAGAAAGTAGAGGCCTGATCCTCTTTTTGCTGCTGCTATTGCATAGGTGGCACAATTCACAATTAAGAGTTGTTTTGTTTTGTAAGTGGTACCTATGATTCAATTGTGAGGAAATCAGGGCTCTTCTACATCCTGTCAAGGAGGCAGGCACAGAGCCGTACAATTGGCCACAACGGAAGGAGCAGTAGTGGGTTTGGGGAGAGCAATGTGTTCATAAGGGGTTTCAGTGAGAGAGTGGGCAGGGAGATGTGGAGCAAGCAGAGGGAGAAAGGATACGGCTGTGCTTGAACCAGAATATTTGATTTGTTAGAGAAACTCAGCGTTATGTCTCCAAATCAGCATGAGTGGGTGTATGTGCGAGCTTTCATCTGCCTGGAGAGGATACAGAGGGACAGCTGCAGATCAAAGCTGAGCCTGCTTTCCTCTTGAGAGCACAGATTTCCAGCCTTTGCAGCACTTCTGGGCTCAGACACTGTTCAACCTCCACTTTAGAAAGTTAGTCAGTCATTTGGTGCCAGTTCCTGTTTATCTGCAGCAGCATGAAAGGTTACATGGAAGACTTCCCCCAGCACCACTTATTTCATGGAATTGGTTGCTACAATTACTATAGAAATGCTGGACAGGCATTAACCAGTGGACAGGAAGTTGTCTAACTGGGAGCCTAACTGGGGCCACTGGTTGCAAAGTCTTGAAGCTGGCAGCTCAAGCACTTAGCAGTGTTCAGGCTTTCAGACCGTGGTGTAGGAGAGAGTGTGTCATCAAGGAAATGAAATAAGTTTTTGGGAAAGCTGGGCCAAATTACAGTTTGCAGTGTATTGAACATAGGGAGAAATGTGAAGTATTCACACCAGAACTGAGCATCCTGTGGAATTCATTCCTCTAGCAAGATTGCTACAATCGTAGTTTTATGTTTCTTTCAGATAATTAATTACTTTTTAAAAAATAATTTTTAAGTAATTAATTTTATTTTTTTTAAATAATTCTCTTTTAAAATGTATATTTTTTGTTATGATAAATAAAATTAATAGCGGTCTGTAAAAGAAGGATATTTCAGTGGTGGAGGGGAATAACACACAACAACTTCATGTTATTAGTTTAATTTTTTAGGGTTATGCCTCACCAACAGCTAGATATTTTTTTCTGTTTTCCATTTCATCAATTAAATTCACTTTTTAACTGTAAGAGTTAGTCCCATCATAGTATTTGAAAATAGTATTCAAGAATCAGACTCCAGAAATCATGAAGTATTTTAAGAAATGCTTTTACAGAGAATTGGATTTGATTCCTTTTAAGTTGGATCACTGAGGAGTAGACACCATGCTGATAAAGAGAATTTCCATAACTCACATTCAAAATGGCTAAGGGCTGTTCTTCAAAGGGAAAAAGACATACCGGTGACTCTTCCTTCATACTTGCTAATTTAACGCAATCTGGTCATGGAGAAACACTATTAACACTTAGTGAATAGTGAACACTAATTAGTATTCGCTCTTAGTGAATAGTGAACACTAATAATAGTGTTTGCTATTAGTGAATAGTGAACACTAATAGTAAACACTATTAGTACCATGGTACACAAAGAAGGGCCTTCCTTGAGCTTTGAAAAGACAGCTCGATGAAATGCAAAGTCTGGCCCTGGGTATTTCTGCAGATAACTTCAGATAGGGCAGAGACCTCCACACTGGTTCTTGAGATGGCAGAATTTCAATATATGACCCAGCATACCACCCTTATATATAGGATGTGCATTTGCTTTAGCGCAAAGCTGCTGGCTATCGTTAAGTAAGAAATATCTTTCAGCAATGAACAGAGCCAAGAGAAACATCCAGTGTGTGGAAAGCTTATAAATGCTGTCAGGTGTGCATGACAGAAGAAAATCTTCCCAGGAGCTGTTAGCTTGGCAAGTACTTAGGATCTATATAGCTTATTTAAAGCTTCCAGAAATGTGTCCTTCTTAGTCTACACAAAAGGAAGGAAAAAAAGACAAAAAAAAAAAGGAGCTATGTCTGAATGTTCAATACTCCAGGGAATATAACTTAATTTATACCTGGTTTTAAAATTAGTTTATGCCCATCATGGGGGAGATTCAGCTCTGGACTGGCACGTGCATTTTGGTATCTATGTGTAGTGTGCATGCCCCCCCCGTAGTCAGTAGAGTTTGAGCTAATGCAATTGATGGAACCTGGGGATTAATTCATTTTACTTCAATGCAGAAAACTACAGGCTGACCAGCTGAACAGCCATGAAGCATCTATGAGCTTGTGTCATTTCCTAAATCTAATAATGTACAACAAGGAAATAGTATAGAAATGATTGAATTGTGTGGTGTCAACATTAATCATTCTTGTGAAGCATGACAAAATGCAAGTAAATAGCTGATAAATAAAAAATACTACCTTTTCTGAAAATTTTCAGACCATGCCTAAGATGTGCATTTTATGTATTACCTGTTATTATATTACTTGCTCATTAGGTATATTGACTTACTGTTATATGTTCCATTAGATATATTGACTTACTGTTCATTGCATGTTAAACTTTTTAAAAAATTAGTAAAAAGTCTGATTTGCACATCAGAGTTAAATTTGTAATAACCTATTCATTGATACAAACCATTACTGGTACATAATTTGCCTATACGTAAAGAACCTGGTATTCTCCTCTTTTCTCTTTACAGCACTTAAATGAATTACAAAACATTACAATATAGTTCTCAAAGAACACAAAGTTCTAGAACAAAAATTGATATGAATCAAAGCCATATATGCATATTTATTAGTGAATTACAGATTGACATTTTGTCTTACTGTTTCCCTTAAACATATTTTGTCAGTAAAAAAGCCAAAATATGCATTTTTCCAAAGAGCAATAATTGATATGCTTATAATTATATTTTAGATAATTTATAGTTACATAAATTATAATTTATATTTTTATGGTACTTCATAATTTATTAATTCCATTATTAATAAATAATGAAGTTAAATAATAGTAGATCTATATTTTTCATATTTACTTGTGCTTATAAAGATCTTTTTATCCTTTTTTTCTTTTTCCTTTCTTTATTCCTATGGAAGTTTGTTTTTTTTTAATTAAAAAAAGCTAGCCAGTGAGAGGCAAAGGTGATTTATCTCTATTTTGCTTTAATTATCAATGCAATTTTTGGCATAGAACACTTTCTTTCAGAAAGCTGAAAATAAAAGAAAACAAAAAAAGGACTAGGGAGAACCTCCATCCTTTATTGGAGGGGGGAAACATAGTAACAAAGGATGAGGAAAAGGCTGAGGTACTTAACACCACTTGTCTCAGTCTTTTAGAGTAAATTCAGTTGTTCTCTGGGTATGAGCTCCCTGAGGAGGAGAACGAAGCTCCCCGAATCCAAAGGGAAATGGTTGCAACCTGCTTCGACACACACGTCTATGGAGCTGAATGGGATCCACCCAAGGGTACTGGGAGAGCTAGTGGAAGTGCAGCCAAGTAACAAGTAACAAGCAATAAGAGGAGAGGAAGTGGCCTCAAGTTATGCCAGGGTAGGTTCAGATTCAGAAGAAAAATGTCTTCACTGAAAGGGCTGTCAAGCACTGGCACAGGCTGCTCAGGGAAGTGGTTGAGTCACTATCCCTGGCAGTATTTAAAAGACATGTAGATGTGGCACGAGGGACATGGTTTAGTGATGGACTTGGCAGTGTTAGGTGAACAGTTGGACTTGATCTTAAAGGTCTTTTCCAGAGTAAACTATTCTATGATCCTATGAAACACTGCTATGTTACAACTCTCCCATGTTTGTCTCATCACCTGCTTCACCTTTAAACCCTTTACACACTTCTCTGCTCTTGACCTGACTCTTTTCTCTGAAATCTTTTGCATCTTGCTGAAGATACCTCGAATAATCCTCACACGCCCTTCCACTTCTGATGAAGATAACGACCAGCTGCCCCCAGACCCGGGTGACTTTGAGCCTGAGGAACCCGACAGCACAGAAGACCATGCCTATTCGGACTGTCTGAACAGTGCTTTTTACCCTCCATAATAAAGTACTTCTCTGGAAGGAGTTCGCGGGTGGTTTTCTGTCCCATTGTTTGATTACATTTAATGTAGTAGTTGAACCGCTATGCCTTATTTGTAGGGAAAACCATTACACAGAAGATGGATTTGAGCTGGGGGAGAAGAGCCCATGTTTGTATTTCTTTGCCTTGAACTTTCCTTTGACCAGAACCTGCGCACTTGAAACAAAATGTGCTGGGTGAGGTTAAGTGAATGTGACCACATGTTTCAATAACCACTTGTAAGGGCATCCAACAGAACCTAAATACAATGGCAAAAAGACCATGTGATTTTTATTCAGAAGGTACTTTACCCATCTGGAAACACACTGAAAACAATTGTATAGTTTGGAGGGTATTTTTTAAAACTTGTGTCTATGTTTTGTCTATTATAGCTTACCCTTTTTCTACCCCCAGGTTCCTTTGCATTGTTCCTTTTAATTTCGTTTTCTATGAGAATAAAAAAATCCTTTTCTGTCTTTTATACAGTGCTGTTGTTTTGTTTTGTTTTGTTTTTTTTTTCTTCCCTGCAGAGAAATGTTATATCCAAATATTATTTCCATTGGAATTCTCTATCTTATTCTAGTGTAATAAAGAATAGTTTCTCTAGGTAAATGTCTATCAGATTTGGACAGGACCTGTAAATTGTGTTTTGTGAGGTCTAAATGCTGGAGGCATCTTACACAACTATGCACCTGAAAGTGAATTGAAAATCAATTTCTTATACTTGAGGAACTGAGACTCTTTTATTTTTTTTCTGATTTGTATATAAACAGAACACCTCAAATTTTACTTACTGTGATATGCCAGTATTTCATGTACATATATATATATGTCTGTGTGTATACATGAAATAATCTTTTAAGAGCAGATGTTCTTGTATAACAGTGCTCTCTCCTTCAATTCTCTTCACTGCTGTTACACAGTAGGTTAGAGATTGGAAGGGACCTCAAAAGATCATCTAGTCCAATCCCCCTGCCGGAGCAGGAACACCTAGATAAGGTTACACAGGAACGTGTCCAGGCGGGTCTTGAATGTCTCCAAAGAAGGAGATTCCACAACCTCCCTGGGCAGCCTGTTCCAGTGTTCCGTCACCCTCACTGAGAAGAAGTTTCTTCTCAGGTTTAAGTGGAACCTCTTGTGCTCCAATTTGTATCCATTACCCCTTGTCCTTTCATTGTTTGCCACTGAGAAGAGCCTGGCTCCATCCTCGTGACACTCCCCCTTTATATATTTATATACACTAATAAGGTCACCCCTCAATCTCCTCTTCTCCAAACTGTAGAGACCCAGCTCCCTCAGTCTTTCCTCATAAGGGAGATGCTCCACTCCCTTAATCATCTTAGTTGCCCTGCGCTGGACTCTCTCCAGCAGGTCCCTGTCCTTTTTAAACTGAGGGCCCCAGAACTGGACACAATATTCCAGATGAGGTCTCACCAGGGCAGAGTAGAGGGGAAGGAGGACCTCTCTCGACCTACTAACCACCCCCCTTCTAATACACCCCAGGATGCCATTGGCCTTCTTGGCCACAAGGGCACAGTGTCGGCTCATGGTCACCCTGTCGTCCACCAGGACCCCCAGGTCCCTCTCCCCTACACTGCTCTCTAACAGGTCGTTCCCCAGCCTATACTGGAACCTGGGGTTGTTCCTGCCCAGATGCAGGACTCTACACTTTCCCTTGTTATATTTCATCAAGTTATTCCCCGCCCAGCTCTCCAGCCTGTCCAGGTCCCTCTGGATGGCAGCACAGCCTTCTGGCGTGTCGGCCACCCCTCCCAGCTTAGTGTCATCAGCAAACTTGCTGATAGTACACTCAATTCCCTCATCTAAATCGTTAATGAATATATTAAATAATACTGGTCCCAGTACCGACCCTTGAGGCACTCCACTAGATACAGGCCTCCAACTAGACTCCGCCCCATAGACTACAACTCTCTGGCTTCTCTCCTTCAGCCAGTTCACAGTCCACCTCACTACCCGATCATCCAGACAACCTGTTCAGGTTCCTTGTGCATTTCGAGGTGTTTAAGAATTGATTTTGATTGATCTTTATTTGGGGTTCTGTGGTGCTGCCTTAAATCAGAGGTGGGGTCCAGCTCTGCTAGACTGGGATGTCATGACTTTTTTCCAGGTGCATAAAATATGCATTTATGGGGTTTCTGATGTGTATCAATTTATTTTCCTGTAAATATAATATAGGACAACTTAGTACCTGGTAAATCCTCGGCTTTTAATCATGTTCGGTGGCATTTCTCAGGTGATCATTCATATCTGACTAGAAAGATTGCTGGTAGCTGGCTTTTCTGGAACAAGTTAAGTTCCCAGGAGAGTATGGCTGTCACAGAGTTAGAACAATATCACCTACTGATAAAAGGGATATTTTATCTAGAAAAGATAGGTTTGCAATAGCGCTATGATATCAAGATTTCTCTTGACTCTCAACTGCATCCGCTGTGGCTTTTTCATTATCTTGTACATCAGCATCTTAATTGAAAATAGCAGTAGGAATATTACACTAATTTTCGTTCATTTGCAAAATGAACATTGCTTTAAAATCTGGTATGGCTTTAATAATAAAGACTGTATTATGTGGATTCCAGTTTGAATTAGCTTAAATGATGTTGATAAATGAAGTTATATTCAAAAATATTTGCTTCCCATCCCATTTCTTCCTCCAAAATGAACAGGGTACTTCCATAATGACTTAATGTTTGATCAATGCATATTGCAAAAATATCAAGCTCAGAACCTGTAAACTCTTTGGCAATCCAGCTAATAACATACGGTTTATTATTGCTTTATTATGTCTTCCTAGGCTGAAGAAGAAGTAAACCAATTCTGCTGTTATAAACCAGCCACGGGCTGCAGGAAAAATTGCAGTTGAGAGCTGTTGAGAGTTCTTAATTTCATTTCTTTTTCTCCTCATGTACAGGTATTTATTTTAGATTCTTCATTAGGTCTTGGAAATAAAAATATTTTCTATGAAAGTTACATGCTTTTAACCAAATGCTGTCAGCATTCAGATAACTTTTAAACACTATTCTTTTCAAGTGATTTGATTTCAAAGCACATTTCGTATTGTGGTGTTGAGGATTTTGTTTTGGGTATAGACTTACGGTGGTAGCACTTTCTGTGTAAAAATCCTGAACACAAGTTGACAAATGAATTCAAATGTTTTTGTAAATGGCCGTGAGCATTTTGTAAATGACCAAACACAAAGTCCATCAGTCAAAGCCTCTGGTACATGTTTATTCAGACTTTGCTTAAGTAAAAAAATGCTAGGGCAGGTGATTGTGTTTCATTTTTCTTCTGCAAAAGAGGGTAGAGGTGGAGGTCAGATGCCCGTGTCCTTATCAGTGCTGAGTAATGTATCTTTTGAGGTTTGGTGTTTGGCAAGCGTGGGCGAGACAAGGTGGAAAAGGTATGATGGGAGTTGGCCTGTTAATGACAGCTCATATCCTGTGATCTTGCTTGCTGCTTACCGGGAAATGCCTAGAAAAAACCCACTGCCTGACTGTGGAGCAGTCCCTCATTTTCCATGGGCAACTGGCTTCTTTTTCCCAGCTGCCACATCACTGAAAGGATAGTTAACAAGGTATTTAATGCTTTCCTAATATATTTTGTTAGCCATGTCTCAACATTGCCACATCCATAATTGTGAAAGAAGGCAAGGCAAACAGTATCACTGAATATGGGAGGTAAGATTATTTTGCAGTGCACCTATTGAAATATATTTTACAGCCTGGGGTATAGCAGCAATATTCAGGAACATCATGTGTATATAGCTGAAACAATGAGTATGCAACAGAAAAGAGGTCAGTTGTTCCACTGCTCTCTGTACTCCTGGACGACAGCACATGTAGGACCTTGCCAGCAGAAGGACAGTCCACTTTAACACAGTTGACTTAAAAGTCCCATGAAGAGAAAAAAGCACTTAAGCACTTACAGCTTCCATTGACTGCCATGTCAGAGAATGCTCAGAGCTCTCAGAATGCTTTTATGGTACCACTGAAATAACCCTCCTTGGTTTTATCCTCAAATGTATTCAAAGTGTGCTCTTTGGAGAAAATTTGCCAAGGAGCCTCCTGCTCCTTGTACATAACACGTAGGGCTCTGCTGCCTCATGTGCAAAGCAGAGACTTGTGGTTCCTGCAATGTTTCCCTCTTTTTCCACGCCTGCTACCTTCTGCTCTGTGAGTGTTTGCAGAGCTGGCGGGGTGGACCAGGGAGTGACAGCAGCAGCTGACGGGTGCCGTGGCAGGAATGTGGACCCACCTCTCATAAGGATCAGATTCCTGCTCTTGGCTCCAGGCCTCCTGGAAGGTAAGCCTGCACCGTGTATGGTCCCAGACGCTCTGCAACTCTCTTCGTTTCTGTAAGGAACATGCCATGAAATACCAGCTAGAAACACTGCTGAGGTCCTGAAGTTTCCAGGCATGTGTGTGTGACCTTGGGTGGATGTGCTGGAGTAACGTAAGAGATTCTTGCTGGCATGTCATGGTGGGGTTGACAGAAGGGTGGGCACCAGAAATAACCTGGAAAGCTTTATTTGCAGCTTCTGCCAGAGTAATGGTTACAAGTAGTAAGGGAGCCTACTGGGTTTTCTTTTAGCTTTTATGCTTGTTTTAAGTCTGGCACAGAAATTCTCTCCACATCAGACCTTGAAAAATCACTGCAGGTATGCGTTCTGTATTAATCGTAGTTAACTGTGAATGAAGTAGGTGGCTTTTAACTGAGGATAGTATGATTGAGCACATCAGGGTCAGAATTAATACTTCTGACTGTTGAATGCTTATGGTGTGTTTGATGCTGAGTAAACAGAACGAAGTGGTGCATATGTATGATGTGTGCTACAGTCATTTGCTGGCAGCCCTGGGCTACAGCCAAGTCAGGCTGAATATGAAAATGGGCAAAATAAAAGAATTGCTGTAACCACATGAGTGAAAACACAGCTGAGAGTGACCCACAAACATCACAATAGTTACTTGCTTCCTTCTCCAAGAACAGCAGATCAAATGAGTACAGAAAATACATCTGCCTAAATGGTTTATTTACATAGTACTTCTATTTTGGATATTCAGCACTTACCTCTTGTAAAAGAAAACTCCAAACCAAACAAACCACCCCTCCTGTCCCCCTTAGCTTCATCTCTTGGCCTTTTGTTAGGTCCTACTTTGAGAAGAAAAACAGGTGTCGAGAGACCAGTGACTGTAATACAAAGAAGTAATTGAAAACAGCACAGTAATTTAGGCGATGTGTAGAACATGCTCTTTACTTAGCACCTGTTTACTATGTTTTCCCTTGCGAAGTAAAACAGGAAATATACAGTTACTAATGGTGTCTTAGAAAGTCCTTGGAGTAGAATAACCATTATTTCTATGTAGGTATAAGAAATGTACTCCCATAATTATAGAAACCCAAATTCTTATATGGTTAGGATCATGGTCTTTCCTCCGGTTAGTCTTCAAATGTCATGCTAAACAAGGTGTGGTAGATAACAAGGAGATGTCAGCCTTTCTGCGCTACCTCCAGGGTCCTTATGGATTAGAATCCAGGCCTTGCATTCAGTATTTCTTGTGCTCCCTGATTTTAACATGATGGCATGAAGTTTGCTGACACACTGTGCTGCATTCCTTGCTTTTTGCGCCCATTCCTATCTCCAACGCAGTCTGCTCCAGCTCCCTAGCACTTGCACTGTCAGCAGCATGATGCATACAGAGTACGAGTTTCCATCCATGAGAAATTGGGTCTTTCCTTATCATACTGTTTTAATTTTCACCTTTTTTTCTTTTTCCCCATGGAATCTCCTATTCAGGCTGTAGTAGCCACAATGTTAATGAAAAACCCACTTATAAAATCTTATATGGAATTATTATGAGTGAAGTCACCTCATAGTCACTTCCCTGGTCTTTCCGTAGTGATCACCTTTAACATTCACATGGGTGAGCTGACACATGAAAACAGATCGTGGAAGCAGAGAGTGTAAACATGACTGAAGATTACATTTTAGTGTAGTTAGTATGAGTGCTAAGTTACACACAGCATGAACTCCAGATACAGCCTGCCCTTTTACCAACATGGGTAACCATTCCTCAGCACAAGGAGGGAGAGACTCCCCTGAGAGCTGCCGTTTGGGAGCCTGCTGACAGCTGGAGTATCCCAGCCACTGGTGGGATAGGGCTGTGGAGTACACTGGGCACAGGAAAATGCCCACCTGAGATGCTCCAGTCCTTGCCTATGATATATAACCATTGCAAATTGACAGGTTAATGGGAGTGGAGATGCTTCAAGTTTTTCATCCATGCCGCAGGAATGATCAGTAATGCAAGCAGCAGTGTAATGTAATCTGCTGGTTGGATCCCACTGAAGGCCTCCTTTGAGGACATTAAGTGGTGCAAAGGCATTATACAAGTCCCTCACCACAGGAATATGTTTCAGCCTCATAGAAAAGATTTCAGAGATACTAACTTCTTAATGCTGTTTGCCTTCCTGCTGAAGAGTGGAGAACAGCTACAGCTTTCCTCTGGGTATTATGTCACTTACTCTTTTATCCCAGCATTTCTGGGAAACGCATTGGGGTGTATTTTTACTCTTGTGACATCAAGTTCATATTTATTCCCTCTACTACGGCAGCCCTTGTAAGTTTGACTGGTTCTTTGTGTTTGCCTTGCCACATTTACTCTTCTACTGGTTGCCATATACTTCTGAAAATGAAGGTAAAAGAGACTAAAGAAAAATAGTTGTCACTGGAATATTTTTTCTTTGTTCTGAAGAATGTTTCATAACAGGAACACTCTAAAGTTGTTTTGGTCAACTTTTTGTATGTAAACTGTATACACTGTTGTGTGATGACTTCTTTGATTGCCTTTTCTTCCTATTCAAGGCTCTAAAGGTTACGTGAGTACAACATCCATCTAGAAATGAGTAGAAAGAAGTGTGCCTAGTTTTGCTGTCATTTCCACAAAGATGAAAAAGGTTTTTATAGTTGCCTGCCTTCCTGCCCACCTGCCTATCTATCTATCTATCTATCTATCATCTATCTATCTATCTATCTTATTTTAGAAGTCTCTTTCACCAGCATGTTGAGAGGAAGAGAGGGAAAGTGTGCATGTTTTCTTCACTAAGGATTTAGTGAGATGCTTAAAGTGTCAGCTTTACAAAGGGTTGTACTTCTTAATAAACCGGATTGACCAGAGAGAATGTTAAACATTCTTGTTTAACAATAGCAAACATTTTCTATGTGATTTTGTGGCATCGTGCTTCCCCTTCCCTTGGTTGTACGTGCAGAGCTAGTCTTGTATGTGAATCACTCCTGAGACAACATGAGCTCAGTTGATGTGGCAACTGGAGGGTGTGTTATAAACCTTGGCATCCACAGCAGAGCTGCCAAGAGGTTCCCCTGGTGCTACAGCTTCTAATATTGGCCTCCTGACTTTATCATTGTGAACCAGAGCCAGGTTATTCTTCTGCAGTTAACTAACAGACTCCATAATGACCATTTGTATGGATATTCACTTCATTTTAGATGCTTACTGGTCATTTCTTGTATTTAGGGGTGCTCACAGTGCCTGTTGAAAATTTTGCAATTCTTTCTGCATTTTAAAAATCCAAGGTGTCATGTTCTAATATTAGAAAAGGACAGTACACTCTGCATGAATGTGTACGAGCATAGTTCAGTCCCAAATACCCAACAGAGAAAGATCAATAGTCATGCTAAAGCACCAATTAAAAATGCTGTTCTGTATGCTTTCCGTCTCTACATAACATACTAACAAAACATAACATATAACATATGGTGCCAGCTAATCATATTTGATGTTTTACTGGCTTAATAATCTCTATGAGTACAAGCTGGTGCTACTGAGACAATAGCTATCTATTTTCATGGAGTTTTTGAGTATGAGCTTTTGGGGTAGAAGAGGGGAGTAAATGGGGCCAGTAACCAGAATGCCTCCTGAACAATTTTCTGTGATGCCAAACCAACATTTATTGTTATCAGAGGCAGCTGCCTGCCCTCTCCCCACGCTTCTATTTGTGGATTTTCAACAGCTATAAATGGAAACACGCGCTGACCAGAAATCACTACAGTGCTGTCTGATACGTCTCTCTCCCGACTCCAAAAGTACTGGGATATCTAACATGTAGTCAGGTTAAATCACTTCTGCTCGGTATATTAGGGGTTTTTTTCCCACACCCTGGGAAATGGAGTTAGGAAAACAGGTAAAAGTCTCAGGAAGAGATGCTTTAGAGGAAAAGCGAATGGTAAGATATGTGGAGAAATGTTACTGTTTGTTTATTTATTTATTTATTTATTTAATGATAAGAAGGAGAGGCAAATCTTCCGCTGTACTTCATAGGAGTATTTTTCCAGGCTTCCTTTAACCACTGACCTTGAAGATTAAAACTTCATTCATGTATGTTAAATTAATTGTGATGGTACATTTCTGTGGAAATACTGTAAATTTGTGAGTGTATTTTGTGTGCATGTGAAGTGGAAAAACTGAACTCAGTTCATTGTCAATTTGTTATCGTAACCCAAACCAACAGCTGGTAGTCTGTGGTTTTACTAGAATTTTCTCGAAGGTCTATTTCATATCTTTGCGCACTATTATTCATAACTCTAGATCAGCAAAATGCAGAAGAAACTGTTTGCCTGGGTCTGGAGTGTGTCTGGAGCTTACTGAAAAGAGGTGTGATCAAAAAAAAAATTATTAAAAGAAAGCAAACACGGGCAAACGAGAGTTTATTTTTAATTAGCTCAGGCTTGAAATGCATTAACAAGGCTATATTCTTGATATCACAAAAAGAGCAGCTTATTCTTCACTTTACAAAACTGTGAAGGAAGGTGGCCATCACTTCTGCTAAGAAACAAATTAGCACTGAGTTTTTTAGCACTTATCTGAAATAGTGGTGATGTTGTATTAGTTTGATTTCATGGTGCGCCAGCATTTACTCTTGTTTAATCATGACATTTACCTCTACTAGCCTTGATTAAGGGAGACTTGGCAAGCTTGTGTTAGTTAACAGTTTTAAATACAGTTTCACCCAGGTAAGGAGAAGTGCTGAAACTGAAAGTAATGACTTGGCCTTAAGGTACCTTTTTTTATGAAAAGAATTATACTCTTTATATAAAGAGTAACATTCAAAACAACAGTGGTAAAGCTTTGGCATGATGTTTTGACTAATATCTAATGTTTTACTTGTTCATTTTCTCATTAGTGAATTAATATGTTATATAGTGACTTCATTTTGAATTTATGGTTGATATATAAGATATAAGGAAAACTTTGAAATTAAAAACAAATGTGAAATTCACAAAAGCTTCAGGAAAGCTTTCGAAGGAAATGTTTGAAATTTTGTTCTAGCAGATATATGGAGGAAATACATAGCAATGTCAACAGGCACTATTATTATGTAATTGTTGACTGCATCTTAGTGCACAAAATATTGAGCAGGCAACCTTAAGTCAAGCTTTCCCACAGTGCAGAGCTCTTAATTTGGAACCCTAATGATCTTCTGACGACTTTCTCTGTGTGCATCATTTACTAATTTTAAGGAGCAAACTGGAACAAACAGGGACCCCCCTGATGGGAGCCACGTTAATGCTTGTGCCAGGTCACCCGCTGTTTGGTTGTTTCAAAACTGAATCCTTGTAACATGGTGAGGTGAGAGGGTCCCTGTCAGCAGCGGCAGGTCACATCCTGTGAGTGCTCAGCAGGAGGGTGCTTTTGGTGGGTTTCATGGAGCTCTGCTGGCAGTGGAGGAATGCCCTGGCCCCACGCCAGTCCACCTGCCTCTTTCCCTGTCCCCTTCCAGACAACATTTAGCCTCCTCTCCGCTCCATCTCTTTATTTGCTTGTTTAGCCTTAATGCCTTTATTTTGGATTGCTACATGGATTTCACTTCACCATCACTTTTCCCTGGTTTGTACCTCCTGGGCTTTTATTGATTCTGTCCTTTTCTCTTTGTTACATGCAGGTCAGGTCAATATTCCAACACTGCATGGGAGCAGTGTCAATCTGTGCTACAGATACTATTTGTACATGTTACATGTGCATTTGTTCATGTCTGTGCACATGTTTAACTTCAATATAGCAAATTCATAAACAATTTTGTATTACAGGTGCTCGGAGGTGTCAATTTTCAACATTATGTGCTATTAACTGGATTTTTCTTTCTTTATGTCTGTTTTGTAAAAGCATAGGATAACTCAGGTGCAAAGGGAGCTCAGAAGGTCTCTAGCCAAGAAGAGTATAAAGCAATAACAGTGAACATCTGAATGTTCATTGAACAAGTTCAGTTGTCCAGACAGCGTTTTAGCCATCTACTTGTCAATCACTAAGGCCCTCATGTCCTGGCAAGGATATGAGAATGTTGTGGGAGACAGTATGGAAGCAAGTCAGGGTAAATAACATCCACTGCTCTCTCCTTAATCACAAATCCAGTAATTTCATTGTAGAAGGCAATCAGGTTGGTCAGGTATGATTTCTAAGTGCTGTTCCCAATCACCTGTTTATGACAGGTGGGGTCATTTGAATTGACTCAAGTACTCCCTGTCTTGACCCTTGTCCACTGCTGGTTGTTTTCCTCCTCCTTGACCTCTGCTGCTGAGCACAGAGGTCTGGGAAACCTTGTTGGCGAAGGCTGATGCAAAGACATCACTGAGTCACCCTAGTCTTACCCGTACCTGCTTCCACCTTCTGTGCTGCCTTTTTGCACTGCAGCTCTGCTACAAACTCCCTGTTTAGCCCCACTGGCATCCTGATAAGTTTGCTTGTCTTCCTGAATATCAGCATGGACAGCCTTGCATGTGTAAGAGGTGGTTTTCACATACAAGATGGCTTTTCCAAGCTCCATCTGTTTCCAAGCTGCCTCCCATGGGATCCCACTTACCAGCTCCCGAATAAGCTAAAGTCAGCTTTTCTAAAGTCCAGGAAGTGTCCTCAGGTACTGATCTTCCTCAGTCCCCCAGAAGATCTTCAGCTTCATTATTTCTCAGTCACTACCACCAAGCCTGCCGCTGAGTATCACATCCCCAGACACTTTCTCATTTCTGTATAACAGATGCAGCTGTACATGACATTGGTTGGCCTATCTGGCGCCTGTATCAGGAAGCTATATTTGACACCATCCAGAAATCCTCTGGGTTGCTTCCATCCTGCTGTTTTGTTCTCCAGCAGGTGTCAGATAAAGTCTCCCATAAAACCCAGGGTCTGTAATCCAGATACTTGCTTGTGTTATTTAAATAAGTTGTTGTGAGGAGCATAATCTACTTCCTCACCCCAGCTGTGTGGTCCTTAACCCGGTCCCAGTGCGATGTCACCTTCAGTGACCTCTCCTCCGATCCTCACCTGCAAGTGCTCACCTACCTTGTTGTCCAACCTGTACAAGAAACTCCCCACAGTTAAACTGCTGCTTCACATTGAGAGATCCTTTTCTTACCTTCCTCATCTTTCTGTAGAGCCTGTGTCCACCCAATACATCACTATAGCCATGTTAGCTATCCCACCACATCTCAGTCATTTCTACAGTGACTCTACATCTCTACAGTCCTATGACCTATATATATTTATGTGTGTAAGAGAAATCTCAGGCTTGTATACTTCGTTACAAATATTTCTACGCATTTTTAAAAGAATAAAATCTATATAATCCTGAAATTATTCTGATTGCAGTGTGCCAATTAAAAAGAGACCAGTTCATGCTCAAAGTATAACATCCATAAATGGCAACTTTGCAGACAGTTTTATTAAATGGTGGTCTACCTTTAAATTCATTGTGTACTGTGGGTAAGATAAATAGTATAAAATTCTCTACCACTTCAGGATATTTCATGTAGTATTTGTGAAATTTGTTGTTAAAGAATTTTTGTCTTTGCTTCCTGGAGGAAAATTCCTTGGCAGACAGGATCCTGAAGAGAGTCTTTGTGTGAAACTGGCTGTGGAAATGGAGGGCGCATTTTGTGATGTGAAAATAGAATGACTCACTCTCATACACATTGGACCAAGCAGATGGACTCAATTTTCCCTTTCATAAAGGATTTTAGCATAGCTCAGAAGGACTGAGTAATTCCAGAGTTCCCCTGTTGAAATGACAGCTCAGCTCAATAGTCTGTTTACATTCTGAAGTCCTCTTCCATTAATGCATATTGCCTCTATTATTTGAAATCATTGTAATTATATTTCGCACTTGTCTGTTTCCTATTTGATCTCTTATCTCCCTCTGAAAATGCAGCACATGAAGTATAGCATTTAAAATAATGTTTATATTGGCATGTTTAACAGGGAATGTCTTTGTGCTTTAGTTTGCGTTATAAGTGGTTTTTGCTTTTGTGATTTTTTTACCTTCTTGTTGCAGTAAGTAGTGATAAAGAGCAAATAGAATAAACCAAATGAATATATGGATCAGAAAGAATGCCATGCACTGCTTGAAGTAGCATTAAGGTTAGCTTTTGGATGAGAGGATGGACTCTGTAAGAAAGGGCTGCAGGACTTCATGCAGAGAATTAACATTTGCTTTACACAATGTGGACACAGCTCATACAGAGTAGACAGTTCAGATCAAGCCTACACAAGAGAAGCAACAGTTAATCTTTGTTCACTGCTAGCAACAGAAGGAGCCCTGTCAAGTTAGGTCCTCTCTGTGGGAAGTAAAGACTCCTCAGAGAAGACAGTCCATTTCCTGAAATTTACAACCTAAGGGAGCCAAAACAGAATGGAGGATGGTGACTAATATGGTGATGACTGGCCCTGCTTGCAGGTTTAGTTGTTGATTTAACTACATGTAAACCAGGTGAGAAGTAAGTATGAGACAGGAAAGGTTGTTTGAAGAGCAGAAGAGGAGGGAGGAGAGCTGGGTGAAGGCTGGTATGGGTGGGCATAGCAGGAGGTGCCTGGTACGATCACCCCCCCCGTGGGGACCTCTTTACCGGGTCACCCTCTCTCTTGTGGTGGTGAGGGCTGCTGCCAGACAAGCAGAGATGGCAGCACAGCCTCCAGGCTCAGGCTGTCACATCTTAGCCAGGACCAGGATGCTGTGGTCAGCACTCTGTCATGCTACCTCTGGGTATGCATCGGGCTCCCATAGCAGGTACTGCTGGCTGTCTAATACTTCGCTGCAGTACTGAAGGGGCTGAGTGAGCAGGGATGGCTGTACTACTGGTCAAACAGGCCTGGTAAAAGGTCTTAGTACAAAGCAGCATGAAAAGAGGAGCTGAGGGAAGAGCAAATTTTTTTTTTTTTGTGCATATACAGGGAATCAAA